TTTGCCCTTTTCCTCCTTGTACCCTCCGCCAATCCAGAAGTCTAGAGCTTATCCGTTGTCTCTTTCTCTCGTCGCATTCTGTCAAACAATAATGTCTGTCTGCCCACCATATGCGCCATTTTTTGGCTTTGCAGGCGTAGCTTCCGCAGTGAGCGTTTCGCCAGTTAACGCTTAGGGTTCCCACTAACTAAACATTGCAGATGGTGCTTAGCAGTATGTTCATATCACTGCTCTGGCTGGGTGGCTAGTCTCACTAAAACAAATCAGCGATTGGTGCCGCGTTTGGCACTGCTAAAGCAGGAATCGGTATTGCAGGGCTTGGAACGTTCAAGCCAGAGTTAATCATGAAGGTGCGTCTTTTCGATCCTCGTCGTATATACCCCAGTCTGACTGAAGATATATAGTCACTTATACCTGTCGTTATGTCTGGTATCATTGCCGTGTATGGACTCGTCGTATCGGTGCTAATATCCGGCGCATGTTCGTATAATACAACTTCCCTTCCTTGACCTGAGCTGTTTCTAAATCGATTATGCAACAGTAACACCGGAGGGCTATCCTCTGTTTGCTGGTTTCATCCATCTCGGAGCGGGCCTCGCTTGTGGGCTTACTGGACTTACTGCCGGTTATGCCATCGGTATTGTGGGTGACGCGGTAGGTTTCTGTAAATATCGCACTATGAGTCTTCTTACCTCGACCTCAGTGTGTGCGAGCCTACGTGCAAGAATCGAAAGTGTTCGTGTCGATGGTGCTCATTCTCATTTTCGCCGAAGTCCTAGGGTTGTATGGGTGCGTTTACTTGTATGGCGTTCTTATTGCATGATACTTACAATCATACGTCTAGACTAATTGTTGCACTGATCATGAATTCAAAGGTGGCTGGAGGCGTAGGGGAAGTATGCTACAGTTAGATCGTTCTCAAATCGTTTGTAATGGCACTATTATATCTCGGACGTTCCCATATCCTCAAAATGAAGATGCTCCACGAAAACAGTATTCATCTGGAATCTGCAGAGGATGGCCGGCGTCTGGAACCGCTCTTACTCCTACTTCTACTTCTTCTACGACGCTTGTGAGTACGAGAACGGCTGGAACCAGAGCTCTCAGAAACCGAACTACCAGACGAGTCCGAATCAGAATCAGAATCGCTGGATGAGGAATCAGTGTCAGAGTCGCTGGATGAAGAATCGGAATCGGAACTGTCAAACTCTCAGTATTTGGAGAGAAAATTACAAGAAACGAGACGCACTGTCGATCCCTTTTCTTTCCACTTCCTTTTGACTCAATAGCACCAGCTCGTTCCTTCTCCTTGGCCTCTAACAAGCGGTTTGCCGTCCCAACTCTGTTTATGATCGATATAAATGTTAAGCAGAAATAAAGAATGTTGACAATGCTTGTAACGTACGATTTCTTGAAATCTTCGGGGACTTCGACCGATGGCTTTCCGCTAGCCTTGAGCTTAGCCAGCGCGCGCGGGTTTTCCAACTGTTGCGTTCTCGACGGCCGAGAAATATATGGACGAGAGTTCTTACATTCGTACGTGTAATGACCTGTTTTCAGAAGAAGTTCAGCTTGGATTAGACCTGGAAATGAAGTTCACCAGTACCTTTTCCTAGGCATTTCTGACACACAGTGCTTGGGCCAGCTCGGGGAGCATTTACAGGGCGTCGATGTGGAGCAAATTTAGACATGATGATGGTTGAAGTGAAAGGTTGAGCCGTGTTTAGCCCGGAGGACCGGAAGCCGCGTTCCATCCTCGTCCCGATGATCCTTGTACCAAGTGTTTTTCTATAACGTGTATCAACGCCCTTCACAATTCCGTTGTAAACTTCTGCTGTATCACCCTTCAACATGTCGATATCGTCCGGGCCTTCGTCTATACAAGCGGAATCAGTATCCGCGGTGAACTCGCTATGGAAACTCGCTGAAAAAAACGGACACCCAGAGGAGATTGATGAAGAAGAGGAGGAGGAGGAAATTGACCAGCTGGCTTCGGAGGAAGACCTGGAAGAAGATGATACCACTCAGGAAGTCTCTGGCAGTGGCCAAAGACATTACCACCGTGCACCGGGAACGACTTTGATGCCTGCGGTGAAAATAGAAAACATCTTGCAAGCAGATGGTAGGTCTATGCCGATATCCTCTCCAAATGCCTTCAAATTCAATCAACGAACTAGGCGTCACAGGAAGCCTCTCAGTCTCTAAAGAAGGCCTATACGTCTTGTCGATTGCTACGGTGAGTTTCACCTTGGTCGACATCATGATATTCTCAGACCAACGTCGTTCAGGAAGAATTCATTAAGCGGCTCGTACAAGGCGGCCATAGACAGGCCAACTCAGGAAGAAGAAATGCGGTTAATTATCGCGACATGGGTAAGATTCGCTGCGGTTTTCTACTCAGCACACCTAATGTCCGTCTCCAAAAGCCGACACCACGCGACAATATCAAGAGTTTATGTTTCTAAAAGGTAAATGTCCATCTTTGTTCTTTATTTCCGGCAATTTGACGCGCTCTAGATATCATACCATACCCTGTCTCCCTATCCGAAGCTCTTGAAATGCGAGAAGCGGTACTAAAAGATTCTTTCGGTGACGCGACTCCAATGCCATTCCCGAGGTCCGCTTCAGCACCTAATCCAACGAAGGCATCTTCTTCCAAACCGAAATCTAGACATTCTGCTGCCGTCAATGGAAAAGAAAAAATCAATGGTAGCGCGAGTGGAAGGACTGAATCCGATGCAAGCGTAAGCATGGGTAATGGCAATAGTCGTGGCGGTCAAGTCTTGAGCTGGGAAGGTCCAATATCCGCATCCAACGTTCTCGATGCTCGCCCTTGGACGCATTGGACTGAACCTATAACACAGGAAACAGTCCGCTTAAACCCAGATTACGATATGGGCAATCGACACGATCCAAATTCTGCCTCACCACATAGTACTAGTAGTATCTCCCCACAGCTCTCCGCATCTGTTGCGCCTCCTTTGGAAACATCGTTTCGTAGAGCGTATACTGGCCCGGTGAGCAGTCATCTGCAAGGACCCGCACATAAGCCGGGACATACGATATATGATCAAGAGTCTCCGGATTGACTTTACTCGCTTCGTTACTCATGAATGTATTCTTACATGTACTTGATTTAAACCCAAATGCTGTGGGTTCAACTTGGGCCAGATATCAAGCCGACTTGAGATAAGTTAGTCGATAAGATAAAGTCCTTATCTCGCTTTTCTGGTATCTTCGCCATGGTCTCAGAGACGTCGACCCAAACAAACGGACATAACGCTCAACTCTCACTACCAATTATCAGTATCACACCCTACCTCCTTCAGCTATCTCCCGAAGTCGAAACACAAAGAGCCAACGTCTCAGCTGCCATCCACGCTGCATGTCGAGACTTTGGCTTCTTCTATCTTGATATCTCTGCCATTTCAGAACCCAAGGAGACTGAAGAATTGACTGAATTAGCCCGAAGATTCTTTTACTCTCCGCAGGAAGAGAAAGATGAACTTTCGTTGAGCAATCAGGATCATGCCCGAGGTGTGTTTTCCGAGAGATATCTTGAAGTCTATAAGTTTGAGTGGACATTGATATAAGGTTTATGACCTTAGGTTATGCCAGGCTCAAAGAGAATGTCACTAACGGCAAGGCCGATAATCACGAAGGGATCGACTTTTATCGTCCGGTAGACAATCCTGATAAGACCAAACCACTATGGGGAGAGAATCAATGGCCGACGGTACCTCAGTTCAGGGAAAAGTATGAAGCTTGGGTTGAAAAGATGAAAATGCTGGGCTTGGTAGTCATGGAGGCGTTCGTCTTCTCAGATCCTACATCCATCGTACGGTTTGAAATATCTTGCTCTTTCTCAGGATGGCAGTGGGACTAGGAATGACTGCAGACGAGTGGAAGGAGCTCCGGAGTAGTGTCGATGATAGTTTCTGGGTCATGAGAGCGATAGGTTTTGAGTGCTTGGTTTTACTCCGCTCACGAATTGTTATTGACTATCGCCCAACGACAGGGTATCCACCACTTCCGAATGATCATGACGGATTTTCGTGTGGTGCTCACAAGTGGGCTTGTTTCAATGACACGCTCCAACATATTCCAGCTGATCATTCGTATAATACAGAGATTATGGGTGTTTAACGTACGCAGGGCAATCTACACTTGATTCACACGTCTGAACCAAGCGCAGATTCTTGCATGCTGATACCACTCTCGGCGCCTTACAGGTTTTTCTGAGACGCTCTGGAGCGGGTCCTGATCTTTCTGGGTTGCCTGCGGAGCAGGGAGACGAAGAAGGTGTATGGATTACAGCTGATCCTATCCTGGGCTGTGTGGTTTGTAACATCGGAGAAAGTGAGTCTCTTGGATGTATTCATTCTTTATCACCTACTAACGTTTGTATAGTGTGTAAGTATCCTCAAAGAATTATCTACTGACCTACATCTTCATCGTAAATTCACTCTCCAGGGGAGATTTGGTCTAATGGATTATACAAATCCACCCTCCATCGTGTCGTCCACAGAGGTAGCAATTACCGGTAAGAAGAATCTTCATGTTTTAATTGAAGCGTTCATACTTACATAGTGGTAACTTGAATTCTTTCCTCCTATATTCAGCGTTTCGTGAGTCGGAAATGTTCTGTCGCATTATAGTCAATGTATTGAAATTCGACATAAGGGTCCCATTCTTCTTTGAACCCAATTTGGACGCGCTGGTCAAACCTTTGGATGCTGCCCTACGAGTACAAAAGAAGGAAAAGACAGCACTTCCGAGTGAAGGAAAGGCGGAGAAAGCCAAAGAGTACAAGCCAACAGTCTACGGGGAGTTCTTAATGGCGAAAGTTGGCAACAATTTCGCTAATGGAAAGGGAAAGTACGTCGACGATTGATTACAAAAAAGCATAGATACAATGATATTTTACTGAGAATAATTAACATTATACATTGTGAAATGCGCGCATGAAGACTGGCTGTATACGCCGAAGCAAAAGGTAATTCCGACACGGGGAATCGAACCCCGGGCTATCGCGAACTAGTTCGAAAGAAACTTCTCTGAGAGGCGATAATGTTAACCACTACACCATATCGGACATAACATGGAGGTAAAGCTAGATGTGTATCTTTACTTCAACAGCATTTGTAAGGAGACCTTTAGAAAAGTTCTACCTATCTAATTATTTCTTAACCATCGCCAACAACGCTGATCTGTCGTTGGCATTTTCTACCATAGAGCGAAAATGGCCATCCATCTTCTTCAACAACGCTTGAGGCGAGTCAAACTCAATCTAAGAACAACGTAGATGATTATAAACGGTAGATCGAATAACGGATTGACATACAATGCGACCTGCGTCTAACACCATCTGTGATGTAAGAGGTATGTGACTAGAATGCTTGATAAGGAGAATTCAAGGCTCACAATCCGGTCTGCTTCCATGACACTCTGTAGGCGGTGGGCTATCGTGATTATTGTAGCATCACCTCGCTCTTGATATTCTTTTCGAAGAGAGTCTTGAATGATTGTATCCGTTTTGTAATCTGACCCGCAGCATTTTGTGCGTTAGATACTGCAATTGTAGGAGTGAATGTACACACCGATAGCAGATGTTGCTGTAGAGAAAACACACGTGAGGTTTCAAGTGCAAAACAACTTCAAGATACGTATTACCTTCATCGAGAATGAGCAACTTGCTTTGTCTTACGATTGCTCTCGCCAGCGCAATAATTTGACGTTGGCCAACAGAAAGATTTGCTCCTCCACTGGCGATAAGGGTATCCAGTGTGATTCTATTTTGAATTTCTAGCTCTTCCTGAAGTGAAACTAAACCAGCCGCTCTCAATGCATTGTTCAGTATATAATCTTCATGTTCCTCAAAGGGATCCAGATTTTGTCTGAGAGTTCCAGAGATAAGTTCAGGCTGTACACGGCCATGATAAAGGTCAATAGAGGTCAATGAGCACCATTTAAAGACACGGACTGTTTGTGGAATAATAGTGATCTGGGAACGCAGTGCATCCAGATTGAGTGTAGACGTCAGAATTCCGTCGTAAAAGACACTTCCGGTAGTGAGAATACATCTCAGCAGAGCTAGAGTTAGGGTACTCTGTCATCAGAATGAGTATTATCCTTTCAAACAAGAATCGGGCGCTGACTGACCTTGCCGGATCCAGTGCGACCAACTGTTTACAGTCAATCAGAGGATTTCGTGTGTTTTAAAATTTGATCATCTCTTACCAACACCGATACGCTCCCCCGATTTGATATGGAACGAAAGCCCATGTAAAACTTCAGGTCCATCTGGAGAATATTTTGCATTGAGACTCTCTACTCGCAACTCGCCACTGGATGGCCAATGAGCGGGAGGTATACTTCCGACACCTAGATGTGCCTCTTGATCGATTCGAAGATAACTTTCAAGGCGTTCGAGACTGGTTCAAGGTAAATCAGGTATGTACAGCATCTGTGAGGCCGTAGACCTACCTATTGCCTTCGAGAGATATCAGCCATGATGTTTACTCGAGAAGATTCTCAAACTCACTTTCGGCTTCCAAGTCATTCATTGCTATCACCCACCATACCATTCCACCGCTGAACGCGACTAATAAAAGCATGGATGAGTTTCAGATATGTAAACTTCAAGAGTGGCTGCAAGCCTTTCTTTACCTGCTAGGTTTAATAAGAAGCCAGTATCGGAGGCATTGGAATTTGTGAAGTACACAAGGTACCATGCCAAAGCAGCACTGAATATCCCAGCAAGCGTTTCCGTTCGCATGGCCATCCAACGTTGGAGATTATAGAAAACCCTGGCTGAACGAGAATAATGATCGATACGTGTCATCAAAAGGTCAGTAAATTTATCTTGAGCAGAATAAGCTCTGACTGAGACTAAAATGGAGTCAGTAGCTAATGTTGTTCTATTTGACCTGTGGCGCTCACCAATTCCTGTTGACGCAGCTCCAATCCTAGACAAAGACAAACGAAGATAAAGCTCTGTTAAACACAAAGAGCCAAGGGAAACTTACAGTCCTATGACCGGCGCTTTGGCAATTGACATCTCTCGCTTGACGGATGATTGAGCCTTCAAGTAGACATTGCCAACCCACGTCCCGATAGCAGTGAGAACAATGCTTGGAAGAAGAAAAGTAGGAGTGAAAATGACGATTGCTCCTATCTTGAATAATAGGCTGATCGATAGATCACACACTCGACTTGTTATCATAGGTAGGGCAAAGTCAACTGGAAAACATCAATTTCTACACAACCGGGTAGATTTAGCGAGGCTAGCGTACCAGAGCCAATATCTTGTGTAGATCTGGTGATTATCCGGGATACGGGGGTCTTGTCGAGCCACCTAAAGGATGATAAATGAGCATTGTGTATATTGCAATATCCTTCGCCTACCTGAAGGTTGCCGCTAACACTGACTCCACAAGCTGATTGTGTATGTATTCAGATGCCTTGACTGAAGCCAGAATGAATTCAACATGGGCCGAAGAAAGGGTGATTAACCATATCAGAAAAATGATCCCTGTAGAGCGTCAGTAAAAATTGGGCTCATATTCATTTCATCTTACCGTAGACCCCAAGATGACTTCGGAATATATAAAACAAGTCAGTGAAATGTCGATGGTTTAGCAATAGGATCATACTACAAAGCGGGCACTTCAGTAGGCGGATGACTATCGTACTGGGATGCCCAGTAGCCCAAATACCATGTTTGCCCAACTCCGATTAGATGAGAAGCTAGAAGGCACGCGAAGAATATAGTAAAAAAGACGAAAGGGTGACTTCCTCCTAGGCTTGAGATGTACAAATTGACTGAATCCTGTGAGCAGCGACCTAGATTGATCAACAAAAAGTAATGCTCACTAGCTGCCCAGCCAACACCAGCACCTTGATGCACTTCCTCAGATACGATGAGCTTGCCACTGGTTGAATCAACGTCAACGTTTCTCTCTATTTCCGCGTCCAAGCCCGACCGTCCTTCGGATCGCTCCAGTGATTCCGATTCTTTACTGGTTCTAACATATGCTTCGACGTTGTCACTGATAGTGGCTATGCCATCTTTCATCTCGACAAGACATTGTACAAACGGTGACAAGAGGGCGACATTGTGAGACTATATAGAGGAAGTTCAGCGCGTCAAAGTCGTCAAAGTACAGGATAAGCACTCAACATACCACGATGATCACAGTCCTATCCTTGACCAGATCTCCGGCCAGACATTCATTGACTATCCACTTGGATGTATGAACACTAAATGAATGCAATTATCAGAGGTGCAATCTTCCTGTTTCCATAAAAGAGAATCGACATACTCCAGAGCAGCCAGCACGTCATCCAGAAGGAGAATACTGGCTTTCGAATACACAGCTCTCGCAAGAGTCAAACGAGCTTTCTGCCCCCCGCTAAGCGTAAGACCTTTTTCTCCAATTTCCGTTCGGTCACCAGCGGCAAACAGAGCCAAGTCCGGCTCTAAAGCGCATTGCTTGATGACCTTTTTATATCGGTCTTCGTCGTATGGAGAGCCAAATAGTATATTTTCCTGTGGTCAATCCAGAGGAGTAGGTTATCACGCGCGCATTGTGACTCACCCTAATAGTTTCGTTAAGCACCCAAGATTCCTGTGCAGCATATGCTATCCCGTCGCCCCGTGGAAGATTGAACCAGGAATCATCGCTCAGCGGAGTGTAATGCATTTCACCTATACCAATGTAAGTGATCAATGAGCTCCATTAGATGCACCAGAACACTCTCACCAAGTAGTGCTAACAGAAGAGACGTCTTTCCGGAACCGGTCAGCCCAACTACAAGATTCAAGGTGTTCGGCTTGAAATGCAAATCCCCTGGAATGGTGAGAACAAAATTCCTCCTCGAAGGTGTAGTCTTTCCACTCCGGGACTTTGACCAGATAAATGTTGCATTATGAAATCCAATCTTGTCCGAGAATTGGTTTGGGAATAAACTGGTAACACTACTGGTTGGGTTAAATGCATCCAATAATTCCGTCTGATAATTTGATCAGAGTTAGTTTCAGCATTCGCTCATCAGTTAGCCTAGACTCACACTTTGCAGGTAATCGTTAATCCTATCCAATGACACTTTTGCAGTGACACATCCAGTGCCACGTATGAAAGCAATCTGAATTTGATTTCTAAACGAGTCAAAGACTACAAGCGACGGGAACGCTATCGAAGCGCTAAATTCCCCTTTCGCGATGAGAGTCTGGAAATGCGGCGTAAGTCTCAACAATAATATGAGTGTCAAAGTACACACGCTGCGAAGTGAGTTGTTAGTCAAAAAATGATCCTTGTTCACGAGAAAACCGATGCTTACTAGCAGGCAAATGTTAACAACATGGTTAAAAATGGTAAAGCAAAACTTGATAGAGAAATCTCAGTGCCTCGTCCAGATTTTGAAAAGCCAAGGAACAAGGATTCAACCTTATAACGACAAGAAGAAGCTCAATCAGGTGAGCTTTCCGGCTAGCCCTCAGTTCGATGACACGCTTCTGAGCAATTGTTTCTGACATTTTTCCTTCCCAACCAAAGAGTTTCACCATCCGAAGAACGTTGACCACTGTGAAAACATCAAGGTAAGACACTCTCGAGATGGAGATTAGTACCAGCTATCACCATCTGTAAAGACCTGAACTCGAGAATCCGTTTTCTTCATCTTATCTTCTTGGACACTGTGAAGTGACTTTGTTGCAATTCCGGTAATTGGGACTAGGGCTACAGTAAGCCCGAGACCTACGAATGCGCTAAAGTCATTCAAAGTCAGCATTGCGAGGAATTTCGAGGAGTTCTGGAATTAGGTATGTCACCTCCATCCAAGCAGTTTATAGAGAAATACAATGCAGCATATGATCTGAACAGGAACAAAGGTGAGGAGCACAAGGAAATGTTGGCCTTCCTCCATGGTTTTCAGATCTACTGTTATGAGCGTGTTGATGCTTGCCGAGGTTGAAGCGTCACTTTTTTCAGCTAAGCACGTAAATCAAGCAATTAGCATTGTAGTTTCATTGCGGTAGAATATATCAAAGCGAACCTTCGCTTTGGTTACCATCCTCATCATCGGATTTCACTT